AGGTGGGTAGGGCCAGGCCAGGGCAGCAAGCTGTGTTAATAAAGATGGGCTTTAGTTTGAGAAAATGGGGACCTGTGGGAGGGATTTAAGCAGGGCAGCGGCCTGAGCAGGTTTGTTCCCCAGAAGGCCAGTGTGGCGGCACAGGGAGACTGGGCAGAGTTGGGGACCGAGGGGGCAGAGCCTGGGGCCCCCCAGGCGGAGGTGATGGTGGCTGGGACTGCTGCTCCAGGGGTAGGAATGAAGGGATGTAAAGAGGCGGAATGGAGGAGGGCAGTTTCGCTTTCCTCTTTTTCAGGAGGCAGCACAGGTGACAAAGTGACATCTCTGGAAACCAAGCTGGAGAAACAGCAGCAGGACCTGAAAGCAGGTCCGAGACTCTCCCTTGAGGGTGTGGTATGTGTGTCTGTGTGTGTATGGTGTGTGGTGTGAGGGGTGTGTGTGGTGTGTGATGTACGTGTGTGTTGAGTTTTCCCAGCTGAAGGCTGGAGTCCTGCGTGGGGTGCTGGGGGTTAGGGCGCCACACAGCCCACGTCACTGTCTGTCACTGTCCCCACTAGATCACACCATCTTGCTCTTACATCTGAAGCACTTCCCAGCTGACCTGCGCGTCCTGACCTGTCAGATGGCCTTCCTGCGAAGCAATGGTAGGGACGGCGGGAGTCTCCATTCCCAGGGTGCCTGTCCCTGCAGCTGGATCTCATCTCCCCCCGCCCACTCCCCCCCCAGGCACAGAGTGCTGCCCCATCAACTGGCTGGAGCATGACGGCAGCTGCTACTGGTTCTCCCGCTCCGGGCTGACCTGGCCCGAGGCCGAGCGGTACTGCCAGCTGGAGAACAGCCACCTGGTCACCATCAACTCCAGAGAGGAGCAGGTGAGGCCGGGCCCTCCCGACGCGGGAGGAAACCTCTGCAATGCAAACTCGGGGAGGCTGGGGCAGGCTTGCTTTATTATTGTTTAACCTAGGGAAGAGTCCAGAAGCAGAAGTCTGGGAGGTTCATAGGGGAGCAGCCACTGACTCTAAGAGGTGGGAGATTTCAGCCAGGAGCTGGGGCAAAGGGGCAGGAGCCAGGCGAGCAGGTGATGAGAGCAGGTCAGCAGGTCGGGAGACGGAACCAGGTCAGGACAAGCCAAACAAAGCCCCGACTCGGGCGGAGAGCGGGCGGGCTCCGAGAGCCCCTTCTTGCTGTGTGCTGGCCTCGGGGGTGGCGGTCAGTCGGGTGAAAGGATCAGAGTGGGCGGGATTCCCAGTACCTGTCACATTAAGGACTCAGTAAGTGTTACCATTAGTATACTCCTATGAAAACAGCCCTGCCTGTTCTAATAGGTTGGTTCTTCCCTGTGAATGTTGGTGTTTGGGGTGGTTTGGTGGCCGCAGTGGGCAGGTTAGACATGGACTGTCATCATGGGGCTCTGGGTAGTGGGTTCAATTGGAAGCTCCAGGACTTGGTGAACCTCTGAAAATGACAGCTGCACATAGAGGCAGGGGCAGGGCAGGTGCACCTGAGAGGAGAGTGACACCGAGGCCTCCATGGGGCAGCGGGCCAGGGGCCAGGGGCAGCAGCCCGAGTTTGAGGTTGTGGGCAGAAGACAAGGAGAGGACTAGAGTCGGGGTGGCAGCCAGGGGCTGAGAACGGGGTGGGGGCCAGAGCGGGCGCAGCACCACAACTTAGGCCCTGCGTTGACTTTAGGGCTCTACCAACCACCGCGAGTTCCTTAACCTCACATGTAAATCAGCACAACCAATTTAGAGGGCTTCTGGGGATTAAATAAAATCATACTCATGAAGCACGAAGCATGTGCTGTAGCCCAGTAAGTGCTGAAGCCCTAACTAAGGTTACAAGAGAGAAAGCGAGGGCCTGGTTTTGCTGGGAGCTGGTGCTTCAGCTTAGAGCAGGTCAGGCTGGGGAAGGCTGAGGGGACCACAGCTATGCCTGCGTGGAGGCACAGGGACTAGAAGCTTCCCTCCCACCTGTTTTCCAGAGATTCATTGCACAGCACTCGAGCCTTTTTCACATCTGGATTGGTCTCACTGAGACCGATGGTGCCTGGAAATGGGTGGATGGCACAGACTATAGGAACAGCTACAAGTAAGTGCTCCTTCCCCACCCCACCCACCCCTAGGAACCAAATTCCCAACCTCTCCCCTCCAGACTCCCACCTCCAAGGCTGTGCTTCTCTGAGATGGGGTGAGCATTGCTGGCATGGGGGTGGTCAGAGCCTGAGCTCTGTCCTGTCTTCCTAGGAACTGGGCTTTTGGTGAGCCAAATAACTGGCAGGGGCACGAGGAGGGCGGAAACGAAGACTGTGCTGAAGTCCAAGAGGATGGCCAATGGAATGATGACTTCTGCCTGCAGGTGCAACGCTGGGCCTGTGAGATGAGACGGAACATCACCAGCTAGGATNGGGGTGGCGGTCAGTCGGGTGAAAGGATCAGAGTGGGCGGGATTCCCAGTACCTGTCACATTAAGGACTCAGTAAGTGTTACCATTAGTATACTCCTATGAAAACAGCCCTGCCTGTTCTAATAGGTTGGTTCTTCCCTGTGAATGTTGGTGTTTGGGGTGGTTTGGTGGCCGCAGTGGGCAGGTTAGACATGGACTGTCATCATGGGGCTCTGGGTAGTGGGTTCAATTGGAAGCTCCAGGACTTGGTGAACCTCTGAAAATGACAGCTGCACATAGAGGCAGGGGCAGGGCAGGTGCACCTGAGAGGAGAGTGACACCGAGGCCTCCATGGGGCAGCGGGCCAGGGGCCAGGGGCAGCAGCCCGAGTTTGAGGTTGTGGGCAGAAGACAAGGAGAGGACTAGAGTCGGGGTGGCAGCCAGGGGCTGAGAACGGGGTGGGGGCCAGAGCGGGCGCAGCACCACAACTTAGGCCCTGCGTTGACTTTAGGGCTCTACCAACCACCGCGAGTTCCTTAACCTCACATGTAAATCAGCACAACCAATTTAGAGGGCTTCTGGGGATTAAATAAAATCATACTCATGAAGCACGAAGCATGTGCTGTAGCCCAGTAAGTGCTGAAGCCCTAACTAAGGTTACAAGAGAGAAAGCGAGGGCCTGGTTTTGCTGGGAGCTGGTGCTTCAGCTTAGAGCAGGTCAGGCTGGGGAAGGCTGAGGGGACCACAGCTATGCCTGCGTGGAGGCACAGGGACTAGAAGCTTCCCTCCCACCTGTTTTCCAGAGATTCATTGCACAGCACTCGAGCCTTTTTCACATCTGGATTGGTCTCACTGAGACCGATGGTGCCTGGAAATGGGTGGATGGCACAGACTATAGGAACAGCTACAAGTAAGTGCTCCTTCCCCACCCCACCCACCCCTAGGAACCAAATTCCCAACCTCTCCCCTCCAGACTCCCACCTCCAAGGCTGTGCTTCTCTGAGATGGGGTGAGCATTGCTGGCATGGGGGTGGTCAGAGCCTGAGCTCTGTCCTGTCTTCCTAGGAACTGGGCTTTTGGTGAGCCAAATAACTGGCAGGGGCACGAGGAGGGCGGAAACGAAGACTGTGCTGAAGTCCAAGAGGATGGCCAATGGAATGATGACTTCTGCCTGCAGGTGCAACGCTGGGCCTGTGAGATGAGACGGAACATCACCAGCTAGGATGCCTGGCGCCAGCAGACCTCTACCTGCACCCCTCCCACCCCGCTCCCAGCTTCTCTTCTGGGGATTTGGAAGACAAGAGAAATAGTCAGAGGCATGGGGAGGAGTTGAGGGAAGATGGAAGAAAATGGTTGAAGAACCTCAGACCCTGGGGACACAGATCCTGCCTCCTTCTGCTCCTCACTGGGATGATTGTCATTTCCTCCCCAATTATAATTGCCTCCTCAGGGGAGTAGGAAAAGAAGAATCCAACACTTGAAAGTCTGTGTGGACTGGTTATTTGGGACTGGGAAATGTAGGGTGCAAAGAAGAGGGAGCACAGAGTGTCTGGAAGAAAGTCTGAGTCCTAGACAGCTTCTCCTTGGCACCCAATCCCGAGGGACATGGATCAGGGAGGCCAGGAAAGAGGCTTGAAGCAGAAGCATTCAGTAGAAGGCCCCAGAGTTTGAGAGTGGGGGAAGCAGCTGGCTGGGCTGGGCTGGAGGGTCTGCCCACACCCTGAGGGCTTCCTGGAGGAAGCAGTTTTCCCTGCAGTTGGGAATCTCCTCCAGAAGAGGTTTCAGGGGCATCCTGCTTTCCTCAGCTTGGGAACTGTGGGGTGGGCTGGCCAAGCCAGTGAAGAATGTTTGCTAAGGGAGGGAGGATTGGTAATACAATTTTCTGCTGTTTTCAGCATAGCTGCCTCTTTTGGACCCCAAACAGATCTACACATATGTCCAGCACAGGGTGTCACCAACATTTTCACAGGGGGTAAACTTTATCTCCCAAGACCATTCTAAAACCAATCTTAGAAGGGTCTTTAAGCAATTAGGCTTTTTTGTTTTAGTTTTATTATAAAATTAATATATACAATTAGTAAAAAATGTTTTAACCACACACACACACACACACACACACACACACAGATTTGTTATAAGGAACTGGCTCATGTGATTACAGAGGCTGACAAGACCCAAGTTCTGCAGGTGAGCAACCAAGCTGGAGGCCCAGGAAAGCTGATGGTGGAACACTCCATGCTTTCTAGCTTCCCATGTGCTGTTGAAAGATTGGACCCTACTCTAGGCCTGACCCTTTGTATGTGAATTCCCCCACATCTCGAGGATTTTACCTTAACCCTGGGGTGTGAAAACCACCCCCTATGTGCTTTGGTGGGAGCCTTTCAGCCTTAGGCCAGGCTCTCAGCAGGCTTTGTGATTTGGGGGAGTGGAAGGTGAGGCGAGAGCAGCGCTGAGAGCCAGGTGTTGGGTGTGCTGGGCTGTGGTGGGGATTCTGCTGCTACCTGCTGGGAATGTGTGTCATCAGGGACCCCAGGGTTGCCATGGAAAACCTTAGGAGACTTGTGCCCTACACGGGACATGAACATCACATCGTTGATCATATGATCCCAACCATATGACCTTCCAGAAAAGGAAAACCTGTGGAGATTAAATTACCCTCAACTTCACGTTCTATTGTAAGGGACAGATTTCTTTACATTTTTTAGTCATTCGATGAGGAGATAAGGATTCTCTTGTCAAATCATCTTACTCAAGAGCCCACCTTTTCCAATATGAAGTGTAAATCTCTGCATGGACATCAAGGTTTTCGAGAAAGTTTTAGATACTGGTGGGAAGTCACACAGCCCTGCTAATGTGGGAAACAGTAATTTCCTTGAAGTGTACTTATGGTTAATCCCTGTAGATGTAACTGAATTTAAAATGATTTCACTTTTTGCCCGGTTGGATGTGGCTCAGCGGTTTAGCGTCGACCTGGGATCCAGAAGATCGAGGTTCGATTCCCGGTCAGGGCACATGCCCGGGCTGTGGCCCGATCCCCCGTCGGGGGCGTGCAGGAGGCAGCCGATCAATGACTCTCTCATCATGGATGTTTCTATCTCTCTTTCCCCCTCTCCCTTCCTCTCTCTGAAATCAATGAAGGTATATTTAAAAAATAAAAATAAATAAAATGAATTCACTTTTTAAATTGTTTCCTTTAAGCAGTTAATCCTTGTTTCACAAACTCTAAAACTTAGTACAGTGTAAACTGCAAGTCTTCTCTTCTGGAGTAGCTGTTATACACTCTGCATTCCAGTTGCAGTTGTTCATAAAAAATCTTATTAAATAAAAGCGCTCTGACAGTGTCTAAGCCTAAAATGTAATGCAAAGCCTTGTTCTTTCCAAACCAGGAATCAGTTAAGTGCTAATTGAAATAATAACATAGAAGATATTTCTTGAATGTCATGTTGGCAAGAATTTACAGGTATGCTGGTGAAGGTGTGGATATGTGAATGTCCTTATGCATGGCTGGGGAACAGATAAATTGGTAATGTTTTTCAGAGCAATCCAGCAGGGTCTATGCAACCCTTAATTTTAAGATTGATATTTCTGCCCAGCCAGTCTACTTCTAGATACACAACTGAGAGAAGTGTTTGCTTTTTAGCACCAACGAGCACATCTGTTCACTGGAGCATTACTTGGAAAAGCAAAAATGCAGCATCTCAAACGTGCTTCACTGGGGGAGTCAGGAAATGAGCTCTGGCACACCTATGCTCTGGAATAGACTTAATTTTTTTCAAAATATGTTTTTATTGATTTGAGAGAGAGGAAGGGACAGGGAGAGATAAAAACATCAATGATGAGAGAAAAACATGGATCAGCTGCCTCCTGCACGCCTCCTGCTGGGGCTCAAGCCTGAAACCCAGGCATGTGCCCTGAATGGGAATCAAACCCATCTTCACGTTCATGGGTTGACGTTCAACCACTGAGCCACACTGGCTGGGCTGTAACAGCCTTTAAACAGAAAGAGGTGGGCAGTGACCTGGGAAAGTCCTCAAGAACCATTTTCAGGAAGAAGCATGTTACAGAGAGAAATTTGTGTAAAAAATCCACCACACATCTGTGTATGCTTACGGGTCTACAACTATGCACAGAAATACTGTGTATCTGAAAAGATACACATCAAATTGTTATCTCTGGGGCCTCTAAGTGGATAAGACATTTTTCATTAAAAAAAAATTTTATTGAATTTACTGGGGTGATCTTGGTTAATAAAATTATATAGGTTTCAAGTGTACAATTTTTAAAAATTCTCACTTGAGAATGTTTTCATTGATTTCAGAGAGAGAGGAAGGGAGAGGAGAGAGGGACACTGATGTAGAAGAGAAACATAGAGCAGCTGCCCCGTGTACGCGCCCAGCCCGCGATCAAACCCACAGCCTGCGTGTGTCCCGACTGGGGCTCGAGCCCGCTTTCAGTCCGTGTACTGGGCTTACTCCAGCCAACTGAGCCGCAGCGGCCAGGCCTCAGTGTACAGTTTTATAATACATCATTCGTATGTTGCACTGTGTTCACCATCCAAAGTCAAGTTTCTTTCTGTCACAATTTACCCCCTTTACCCCCTTCTACCTCCCGCAGCCCCCTGTCGCCCTGGTAACCACCATACTGTTGCCCAGGTCTATAAGTTTTATTTACCTATTTTTTGCTTAACTCCTTCACCTTTTCTAGCCACTCTCCGACCCCATCCCCTCTGACAGCTGTCAGTCTGTTCTCTGTATCTATGAGTCTATCTATGTTTCTATTTTGTTTATTTTGTTCATTAGATTCCACATATAAGTGAAATAATGTGGTATTTGTCTTTCTCTCACTGCAGGGAAAGCTGCTTCCTCCAGGAAGCCCTCAGGGTGTGGGCAGACTCTCCAGCCCAGCCCAGCCCAGCCCAGCCAGCTCCTTCCCCCACCCTCAGACCCTAGGGCCTTCTCCTGAATGCTTCTGCTCCAAGCCTCTTCCCTGGCCTCCCTGATCCATGTCCCTCGGGATTGGGTGCCAAGGAGAAGCTGTCTAGGACTCAGACTTTCTTCCAGACACTCTGTGCTCCCTCTTCTTTGCACCCTACATTTCCCAGTCCCAAATAACCAGTCCACACAGACTTTCAAGTGTTGGATTCTTCTTTTCCTACTCCCCTGAGGAGGCAATTATAATTGGGGAGGAAATGACAATCATCCCAGTGAGGAGCAGAAGGAGGCAGGATCTGTGTCCCCAGGGTCTGAGGTTCTTCAACCATTTTCTTCCATCTTCCCTCAACTCCTCCCCATGCCTCTGACTATTTCTCTTGTCTTCCAAATCCCCAGAAGAGAAGCTGGGAGCGGGGTGGGAGGGGTGCAGGTAGAGGTCTGCTGGCGCCAGGCATCCTAGCTGGTGATGTTCCGTCTCATCTCACAGGCCCAGCGTTGCACCTGCAGGCAGAAGTCATCATTCCATTGGCCATCCTCTTGGACTTCAGCACAGTCTTCGTTTCCGCCCTCCTCGTGCCCCTGCCAGTTATTTGGCTCACCAAAAGCCCAGTTCCTAGGAAGACAGGACAGAGCTCAGGCTCTGACCACCCCCATGCCAGCAATGCTCACCCCATCTCAGAGAAGCACAGCCTTGGAGGTGGGAGTCTGGAGGGGAGAGGTTGGGAATTTGGTTCCTAGGGGTGGGTGGGGTGGGGAAGGAGCACTTACTTGTAGCTGTTCCTATAGTCTGTGCCATCC